TTTAAGAGAAATTGTTTTATAATTTTAAGAGAAATATTATTTTTATATTTTAAATATACTGAAATATTTTATATATTTAGTTTTATGTATATACATACCACAAGCAAAAAATATACGCTTGACATTATACAATGTCCATGTGTCTTTTTTTACTTCTTCAATAAAAAGTGCTTTTTTAAACTTAGCACTTGTTTTATATGAAGGCCACCAGACTTGATTCTTCAACGGTGTGAGCCATGAATGATGAACCAATACAATTATACCTTCTTTCTCATTACCATCACTAACAAATTCAACACCCACAAAAGCCATTTTGATACTACGTTCACAACATAACAATGTGATTAATTTATAATTAATTCAATAATTTTCTGAGCATAACATTTAGTGGAAAAGCAACCGTGTACGATTTTCTGTTTATGATTGCAATATATATCTTAGATAATAGATACAAAAATTTTCGCCAATGTTACGCTAGCTTTAATATCGCAAAATAGTTCTATTAAATAAATTATTGTAGTAGCATAACGGTTGCATTTTGCTGAATGTATTACTATGTAAGTTTCTTTATCTTATTGAAAAGAAAATTCGGCCGGTTAGGTCTCTAAATATATATCTCATTAAACCGTTAACAAGATCGTGACAAAATAGCAATCCGATTTTTTGTCTATTTGATGAGAAATAAGAAAAATATTATAGGTTACATTTATACTCACAGATATAAATAAGTCAATAAACCACAATACAAAATAGTATATACATACCATATCACTGATGTAAGTAGATNTATTATTTTTATATTTTAAATATACTGAAATATTTTATATATTTAGTTTTATGTATATACATACCACAAGCAAAAAATATACGCTTGACATTATACAATGTCCATGTGTCTTTTTTTACTTCTTCAATAAAAAGTGCTTTTTTAAACTTAGCACTTGTTTTATATGAAGGCCACCAGACTTGATTCTTCAACGGTGTGAGCCATGAATGATGAACCAATACAATTATACCTTCTTTCTCATTACCATCACTAACAAATTCAACACCCACAAAAGCCATTTTGATACTACGTTCACAACATAACAATGTGATTAATTTATAATTAATTCAATAATTTTCTGAGCATAACATTTAGTGGAAAAGCAACCGTGTACGATTTTCTGTTTATGATTGCAATATATATCTTAGATAATAGATACAAAAATTTTCGCCAATGTTACGCTAGCTTTAATATCGCAAAATAGTTCTATTAAATAAATTATTGTAGTAGCATAACGGTTGCATTTTGCTGAATGTATTACTATGTAAGTTTCTTTATCTTATTGAAAAGAAAATTCGGCCGGTTAGGTCTCTAAATATATATCTCATTAAACCGTTAACAAGATCGTGACAAAATAGCAATCCGATTTTTTGTCTATTTGATGAGAAATAAGAAAAATATTATAGGTTACATTTATACTCACAGATATAAATAAGTCAATAAACCACAATACAAAATAGTATATACATACCATATCACTGATGTAAGTAGATGTACTTCAAACATTAACACTTGCATTGAGCATTAAAATTGAGCACAAGCGAATATATTCACTGACGTGGATGCACAACGAAACAATATCGAGAAATAACGAAAAGCAGAACAGCAGAAAACAATCGCAACTAGTTGCAACTTGAGCTGCGTTTCGTTTCACGCATTTGTCTATACTATACGTAACGTGTACTATAGATAAATGCGCGCATATGCATGAAACAAAACACACTCTTGCTCGCTATCCCCACTCCGCGTGCAGCTACGCGGCGGCTCGAGGCTTGAGGGCGATGTCCCATTGAGCGGAAATCTATAGCGGAACGGAATGTGCGGAACCGGCTTGATCAATCGTAACCACAGAAAAAGCGAAGGAAAGAAAACGGAATGGCTATGATTGGTCAAGCTGGTTCCGCACATTCCGTTCCGCTATAGATTTCCGCTCAATGGGACATCGCCCTGAGTCACGCGAAATTAATCACGCGTGTAGAAAGAAAAAGTTCAAAATCTTATAAATAAGATGAGATTTTGAGGCATTTTTATGAAATATCGATATACGTTGTGACGTTTTTTGTTGTTATTAATAATTTCCCGCGTCTTCCCGCCCGAAACGGAAGGATGAAATCGGGACACGGACGGGAGTCCGTGAGATCAGGAACGTCTGTATCGGCAGGACAGAAAAGGGGTGGTCCCAAGAGCGTACCGCTGAGCCGAGCCGACGGATCCTTTGATGGAGTATTGGGCGCCAGACGCGTTGCCGCGTCAAAATTTGCGTCGCTCGACACAACGGGCCGACTAGCTCGATGAGAACAGAGAGGGGTTGGGTCTATTGTCTTTAAATAACAGGCTGTCCCTCCTAAGATGGAAAGAAAGGGGCGCGAAAGGGGTGAAGAGGCGTGAACAGGCGCTAGTAAGTTTTAAGTAACAAGTTTATTGATATAATATAAAAGGCGGGTAAATAAAGAAAAAGAAAGCAGATGTGAACGAGTTGTAAATAAAGAAAAGCGATATGATATAGCAGAATTATTAATAAAAAAAAGAAATATAAAAATAAATGAGAGCTCAAACAAAGATACGGAAAAGCACTAACAAAAAATATTACATAGCAATTAGTATGAACAGAACGCAAACACGCAAAATAGCAAACTATGTCACCACGTCGCGCGGCCGAAGCGATATATTCAACAAGGTCAAACGGTCAATGCATCGACAGCGATAGAACCGCGTTCCTCTGCCCGAATCGCTGGGGGTGGCTTTTTACAATGCTGGCAGTTAAATAGCGCAAATGCACGGCCCACCCACGGCGACAAAGCTTTCGATGGTTTATTTTTGCAGGAAGCTACTTCCGCAAGGAGCGCACGGGGTCGAGGAGACGCGCAGCGCTCTCCGGTAGCGTTCCGCCGGACAACGCGACTCCGGGCAAAATCGGCGATTAATACGACAGCTCTAAAGGTCTCGCAAATGCAAGGTCGATACGACAGCCACGCGGATTTCGCGTCGTCAAACCGATACGACAACTGTACGAAGTTCGGTATCGCAAAATCGTTACGACAGCCCGCGATATGGCAACGCAAAGCGATACATACAAGGCGATGATAACCAACGCAACAAAAAATAGTCAAAATTATAACAAAAATTCTTACAGACTAAGGGATGCTACTTGGCGCCTCTCGAGCGACTCCAGGGCTGATTACAGTATTTAACAAAATACTCGCGAAATCTCAACGCACTTCAGTCTACGAAATAGTACCACGAAGCCCCGTGAATCCGATTCTAGCCGCTCTCCAAAAACCAATATGACGAAGGTTTCGTCCTTGCCAGATACTCAACGCGAAAATTCGGCGACTAGTCTCGACACAGAACTCGGCACGCAGATTCGTGGCTGCAAGAAACGAGGCACCTCACCGGATATCGTCGTCCTGGGACATCACGTTCTTTCTTTCCGTTAGCTGCAGGACGATACTTCCA